ATTTTATTTGGATTTTATTATGTAGAGATTTTGTGTTTGATGATTAGCATGTACTTGTTGATTGGTAATAGAGAAAGGGGGACGCATTTTGGACCCACTTATCTTCTATCCTAACTCGTAAAGCTTTCGGATCGACTCCTTACGCGTTTAGGATCGTATTTACAGGTGGTACATCTCTAGAATCCCCCTTGTCTGGACACTGAGCTCCAGGAAGGCGAGATTTGGAGGTATAAAGGGATAATAGCATATAAGATACACGCGATTTTGTTTGCTGAGCCTATTTTCGCTTATAGCTGGGCTTTAAATTGAAGATAAGGAGGTAATAAAGGGCGTGTTTCTATATTAAAGCATAATCCCTAGGGATTATTGGGACGTATTTGTGCTCGTTTGCATAGATAGACGGCCTACACTATCTGGGAGGTAGTTTTGTGGGTTTAATTATCTGTGTTGCGCGCCATTTTGCCGTGTCTTGGGCGGTTGGTTACCAGCCATTCCTAATTTGGAGGTTTTAGCGCGCCGCATACGCAAGCACCGACGCGCGGTGACTCCGACCCCATTTGCGTGGTCTGCTCAACTGGTGACCGAGGCAGGACCTCAGCTTTCCAGCTTATTCAAGTCAAATCATAAACAGAACAAAAGCCCCAAGAGGACCGATATATTTCGGACAACTATACCCTTACAGAATTCGACGGCTACATCAAAATGTCCAGCGACCCCTACACAACTGATCCGCAGAACGCCCCGCCCGGAAACAACCGCCAGTCCCACCGCGCTCGGACGGTCTCGGAAGGCACCACCTCTGAGGACGACAACAAGCCTTACGGCCACAAATCCAGAGAAGACCTGGAAAACGAGTTAGCAGCCGAAAAGGAATGGAGGAGAATGGCAGAAGCCGAGTCCCGCGGGATGAGAAACGCCCTACCGTCTACAGAATGGATGCAAGAAGTCATCAGGGAAGTAGCAGCCCAAGCAATAGCCAATATGACGCCACCAATCATCAATATGCCTCCTCCTAATATCAGCATCGGTACCATCAACTCGAAGCGTCGTATGCCTGCGCCGACCTCAGCTGAAGCTCCGGTCATCCGAAAAGGACCTATCGAGAGGGCACTCATGGACTTCTTCACAGAACTTGAGTCGTGCTTTGATGAGGCTGGCGTCAAGACCGAAGAAGAAAAGGCAGGGAATGGGACAAAAGTTCCTTTGGATTGCTCAGGTCTCACTGCCTGGCTGCACAGCGGTTGTATGAGGGCAAGGA